TGAGGCTTTCACGGCGGTGACTATGAAGAAAGCAGTCTTCTGGGATTTGGTACCGTGTATAAGTGGTGTTAACCGACGTTTCGGAGGAACGTCGGTTAACACCACTTATACACGGTGCCAAATCCCAGAAGACTGCTTTCTTTATTAAACATTTACAATGCTTTAAAATTGTCCCTTAGAGTTAATGATTTTTGGACTTCTTCCATCATCCGATATTCTAGAGACTAGAAAACTCGATTTTCGGATACTGCATCTGTTTCTATCCTCAGGAGATGAAGGGAAGACACCTACTCAACTGGGTCCCCTAGAAAGAGCTAACCTCAGTCACTGGACAACCACTTTCATATTCACACACCTATTTAATCATCTGAGACCAGGCTAAAATAGCTGTGTGAATCTAGCAGGGACTGTCCAGTGATTGAAGTTGGGTCTTTCTAAGGAACTCAACTGAGTTGGTGTCTTCCCCTTTCACCTGCGGACGGAAACAGAACCAGTTTCGGAAAAGTTGTGTTTTTTAGTTTCTAGAATATACGATGAAGGACAAAGTTAAAAAACCAGTAATACTGAGTGTTATATACCATCGTCAGAACCCTCTAGAATCTACTTTAAAACTATCATTCACAATTCTGAAATTTCATGCAGCCCAAGTTTTGTTGTTTCAATCCACAAAATAATATTTCATACAGCATATGTACATATTTTGAGACCTAATTGCATATCTTATATAGTACTGACTTTTTAATTGCTATGAAAAAGGGAAATAAAAGGGTTTTATACATATCTCACCGTCGCCATAGTCTTCTTGTATCACACTTAGCAATACCCCCAGCTAACACCACCTAGCAGCACAACTCGTAACTACAAAGCATGCGCGCGCAACAGGTCGGTTCCGGTTATTTTTGGGTCCCCCTTCGTATACTGCAAATTAAATATTGCATATTTCTAGAAGAATCAACCCAAGTCCAATGGACCCACTGTTATTGCGTTTCCATGGAAGTACACCTTACGGATTCCCGGCACGCGACAATATTTTATTGAACCAATGTCGTTATCCTTATACTGTCTTATTATTGTTATGTGTTTCAGTGGTTGTAGACGGGGTTTAGATTGGTGAATAGAGTTATTAAGACTCTCACAAGTCGTAACTGCAAATAATTATAACACCCTAAAATTACGGCAACTACAGCACACATAAAGTCTTAAAATCACACATTAAGTTTTCACAGGCCGATCTCTAATTCTTCTTCAACAATTTTCTTAAAACTTCTGACTCCCAATTCCAAATCTCTAAGCCATTTCTCTCATCCAATTATCTAATGTAATCCAATTCTATCTCAACTGAATTCTCTTGGACCGAACTTTCAACTGAACTCAGAGTCAGAGTCAGAGTTACTTTAAGAGCGCCGGTTTACCGCCAATCACTTCCTCTTGGCGACAAGACCCTTTAGACTCACAACCAGTAACTTCATTTTCTAACTGAACATTTGTGGTTAGAGCCCTTATGTAAAATCTCTCTGACGAGTGAATGAGTCTGTCGTTTACAATTGTTGATGGTCCTAGCCAGTGTAGTCATTCTCAGGTCCGACTCCCGCGCATTTTACTGTCTCAGATTCGAGATTCCCCCAACCTGTAGGGCCAGGTCCCCTTATTTATATCCCCCCAGGAACAGGGTGGCCGGGTTATACCCCCGAGCAGGGACCACAGAAAATACCTCTTCTGTTGTCAAAATTGGTGCGTAACCTAGAAACTAGTTATAGCACTGGCCACAGAGAACACAACTCCTACTGTTGCGTGGTTGCTGGAAAGTGTATATTGAGTCGTTGCCTAGCAATGATCATATTCCATCACACTCTTATTAAATGTCCAACTAAATGGGCTGGATATTTAATATCACTGACGAGGCACACATTTACCGAATACATTGACACAATATTGATCACCGTATGCACACTCTGCATTAACAGTTTGTTATATTCCTGCTTTCTTTTGCCGTAAAAGAATTCTGTATGACAGATATGAATGTTTCGGCCGTCTTTCTTCGTGGCCATGGCGCTGCTGAAGGGAACACGATCGCTGATCACCTTCAGGCTATACGTTATACAGTCAAAATTTAAACGCTGAATATAGGTTTCAAATTGTGTTTACACGGCTGGTGGATTTTGACTGATGTCATAGTTAATAGGCTAATAAATTATTGAGCGAATTGCTTTCAGCAGAGCTCGGACCTCTAGACCTACAACGTGAAGCAAGATGGATGGATGACTGGTCAAGAATGGTGGTAGAGGTTTAGAAGCGATCTATTCGAAGACGCAATAATGACATTTGATTGAAGTTACTGAAGAAAATTATGAAGATTCTCATTTAGAATGACCGGTATCTTACCAAATTTCGGACCCAGACCCACTCGAATATGCTCCTAGAGCATTACAGATTTTCAAATTTGTTCAGAACAAATTTCGATAAATTAGATTTTTAGATTGGTTTCGAAAGCAAATGTAACTTCATTGGAAGATGGGGCATGGTTTCTGTATTCCCCGTTAGTGGCTCTTGCTTCAACAAGCTGCTGCTTATGTTACACACTTATTAAATTCTTTCTTCCAAATATCAGAAAATACAGCATTTCGAAATACTGAGGTGGGAGCAACATTCTGTGACGTGGATGGCGCAACAGGAAGTAGGGGTCACGTGAACTCTGCGGTCTCGCGAGTGACGTCACATACCCTCACTCCTTCCATCATTACGCAACGCTCAGTAAACACCACCTCACCGCTGTGACGTAACAGGGGACACCGCGGTTACTACGCAGCAATAAACGACTCTCGGCAGCGTTCCCCAGCAACTTTAAATGGACGAAATGTTCCATTTGTAAATAGTGCAAAATATCTAGGTGTAATCTTCGATAAGAGAGTTACATGGAGATTGCAAATAGAAATGATCGAAGCCAAAGCCTTCAGAACATTCATTAGGGTATATTCCCTATTCAAAAGTGAGCGATTGAGCGCTAACATTAAAATGACCATCCACAAAGCTCTCATTAGATCCGTAATGACTTATGCTAGTCCAGCCTGGGAGTTTGCGGCAGACACCCATCTAGTGAAATTGCAGCGCCTGCAAAACAAGGTTCTCCTCACCATTGGCAATTTTCCAAGGCGCACACCGGTCCGCGACTTGCATATGGCATTTAAAATTCCGTACGTATATGACTATATAACAAAATTATGCAGGAAACAAGCAGAAGTCATACAAAATCATGAAAATGAGAATGTTCGCAACATCGGACAAGGCGAAGCCAGACACAGAAAGTATAAGAGGCTTAAACTTGGCGGCGGTCAGGCATACTACCGTTCAAGTGACTAGGCTACTGTGGTAGCGAATACTAGTAGAAATAGGGCATAATCTGCTGTACCGAGCCTGGATTGACAGAGGCCTTGTATATATTGTACATAGAAATAGGAATTAAGTTTAGATTGTAAATATATGTAAGTACTGACAATGTACTTACTAACACAGACTATGACTGAAAAATGACAGACCCGATCTCTCGTCAGAGAGGGCGCCCCAAATGAACAGGACAGTAACTTTCATATAAAGAAAAAAAAATCTGGTCATGAGCCCCAGCCGGGGCTCGACACCAAGACAGACAGACTGACTGACCGTCAGTCGCAATGTGACTTTGACTTTGACTAAGCAGTTCAGTTGAAATATAGCAGCAGTCGCGGAAAAAAGACCCGAACGCGTGGTTAGAAGATATTATGTGATAGTGTGCGATAACTGAGAAGTCAGCCAGTGAAGACTTATTGTGTGCCCTCAAGACTTTGTGTGCGCTGTAGTACAGTTATATTGGGAGCGTGTAATTCAGAGAGACTTGGATAGCTCCCGTTACGTGAAGACTACTGAAGATAGAGTGAATAGTGAAATTGTCTAAATCCGCAACAATGTTATGATCAATTGTAGTTACGACTTGTAGGTTGTTAAATAAACCAATTAACAATCTGAACGGAGTCTTCAGGACAAAACACGTTACAGTTCATTCAACTTAAGATAATGAAATATTTCAAGTCACATATCTCTAAAGTTGTGGAAATTTGAAAAAAGAGGTGTTGGTTAAATGTTACTTAAAGACTGGTATGCTCTAAGGTCACAAATATATACGTCAGTTTTTTGAGGAACATTTCATTCTTGGTGTAAACTAAACCTACCAATATTAGGATAAAATGATATTACGTATACAAAATAATGGATGATACATTCTTCAAGCCTCTGTCTGTCCTGCTTTATTCGTTAAAAGATATAAATTTGAGGGAAATAATTACTCATCTACGAAGATTAGTTATAGATATAAGAAAATGGTACTTCCCAAACATTATGCAAATTTCTAAGGCTTTGAATAAAATCCGTAGTGAACAGTAAAGGCCAGAATTCAAAGGCTTAGAATACCCAATTCTTATTCTTATTCTCGATGTTATTTGTGGCCTGCTCGATTCAAAATTTGTCAGGAAAGAGTCGATCTTTCCAAAGTTTGGTAAGACTCTTTTGTGAGGCGAACCTAAAAATATCACAAAAATAAAATAATTTAGATTCGTCTTTCGATGATTTACTGCGTTTTCTTGGGATTTAGAAGTCGTCATTAAAAATAGAAAAAAAAACACTTTAATTATGCTGAAATATTTTATTTTTATATCAACCACATTCCTAAAATAATCTGCCACTTGAATTGAGATTGTGAGTACGGTAACAGGAATTGCCTGTTCGGTTTGCAGAACTACTACATTTTCTCTAGCTTGAGAAACAAATTGATGATGAAAAGCGAATGGTGTAAGTTTACATACAATTCTGGTTTTATCCTGGAGGAAAACAGAGGAAACCACAACGGGGAAAACAGGCATATACAAAGTGACCTGGAATACAGTTGTAGTACGGTTGGGACAACAGTTCCGCTGGCTAGAAATGTTCGTTGGAGATAGAATGGTTCTGTCGTTGCAGAGAAGCGAGACACTTACCTTCCTCATAGTTTCTATGTACCCGCCACTTCCGGGGGCGAGCAAGCTGAGTAAAGTGACTATTAAGAGAGACCTCTCCAACCAGAGGTGGCCCATAACTCGTCCTCATTGGTCCTGTAACAACCAATTACAACATATCAGTTTCGGTTGCAGGAAACAACAAATTGCAGTGGTCTATTTTAAAACGGGAAGCCACATGGTTGCATTATAATCAAGGATATACAGGGCGCAGCAGAGGAAACGCATGTTTTTCACATAAGAATAACTTTGTTGATTTTCAAGCTAAAACCTTTTTAATTACTAAAAAAGAAGGCATTTTAATGCATTTTATCTTATATTACGTAAGGAAAATAATGTCAACAAAGTTATTCTATGTCAACAATATGCTTATCCTCTGCTCCATTTTGTATTTACCAAAAAATATAACGTAAGATAAATTTGATTTGTTTCATTCTGGTCTGTCATACTAACAATTACAAATATGAATTACTCCGTCCAATGTGACCTGTAAGTTTATTACTACATGAAAAACTTAACACCCTTACATGTTTCGGTCTCTGCGGGCCATCTTCAGAGGGCAAACATCACTACAAATAGGAAACCACCTTCACATAAGTTGTTTAGACGTAAAGTATGTACACTTACATGTTAGAATGCATAGTGCACAAAATAGAACATTTCACAAACACAGCTGTTTCCTGGGAATGTAAGTTTTCAAAAATTATTTAAAATTTCTTGATGCTAATTAAAAATTTTTTCATTGTCAATAATTAAAATTCATAAACCATGCAGGCTTGTGTTCGTCCTCCCATCGTCCCTCTTGTATGGTGCAGATATTGTGCCACCAGTCTATCTTGATGTGGAGGTTCTTTATATCTCCCAGGGTTTGCTCGTGGCTGCTGTGCTGTTTTCACTGTGAAAACTATGAAGATTCAAAAATGGAGGTAAATCGTGCCTTGTGGGAATACATAGTATCATACAGTTGAGGTGCTCAGTCACTCTCGGCCTTGGATATTCAGCTAATCATGCCTAATTTCATGCGCAATATTACCGAACACAGAGGCCGAGTGGTCAGCACTTCTTAGTATTCGGGAAATCCCGGGTCAGGAAACCAACTGTCCTCCCTGAGGATTTTCGTGGTTTTTTCTGTCTCTACAAACAAACGCTAGAACAGTGCCAAAAATTAGGCCACGACCGTTGCCTTCTTCATACTTTCTAATTCATTCATCTTTCCATTAATAAATAAACGCCATATAGTGCGATCTACTGAAAATGTCACAAAATAAACCATATATTACGTTTATATGACAACTAACTAACCAACAAACCAACAAACCAACCAACGAAGTAACTAACTCCACAGAGATGAGCCCCGCTTGAGGATCTGCCAGTTGTAAAGCTATTCAAGACGTTTCCAACATTTTATGGAACTCGAAGGTTCATTACCGTGGTCAAAAAGCACTCTATTGGTCCCCATCCTGAGTCGGATAAATCCAATCCATACCACCCCATCCCATCACCTATATCTTGGTGATATACATATATATATATACGTGGTAGAGTCATTAAGTTCGTGAACTGTGGTTTTATCGCATCATATTACAAGGTATTCACATGCACTTACACAGATCCACATCGACCTTAACAATTGTTGCCGTTGGCCGCTATGCAAGTCTGCCAAAGTTGATATAGGTGCCGAAAACATTGTTGAAACATATTAGCGAAAAAATCCCGTACGGCGTCTCTTGTGGCAATGACCACCTCCTCGGACGACTGAAACCTACGACCACGTAGCTTTGCTTTCAAGCGGTGAAAGAGAAAGAAATCGCAGGGTGCGAGATCAGGTGAGAACGGAGGGTGTGGCAAAACGGTGACCTTTTGCCTTGCCAGTTCCTCTTGGACAAGAACAGAGCGATGTGCGGGGGCGTTGTCGTGTAGCAACAGCCAATTCTTCCTATGCCAAATGTTTCGGTAGGGGATTCACCTAGTTTCTGGCAGAACTTTATGTTTGTCCGTTGTTCAAACTGCCACATTTTCGATTTCCGCCACTCGCATTTAACTGTAGTTCACAACAGAGGACATAGTTCTGCTTACACTGTTTGTACACAACTGCCTCTTGCTGTGACGAGAGATGAACTAACAGGGCATCATATCATGCCTCAACCTAACCGCTGTAGTGCATTGCAACGAAGCTTTGCGGCCAGTCTACAAAATTATTGACTGTGGTAGTATATATATATATATATATATATATATATATATATATATATATGCATGTATAATGTGTAATACGCCAGAAGAACATTCTATTAATACGTTAAATCATGAATTAATTTAATTCGTGTTAAAATTCAATGAAATAAGTCTCCATTTCAAGGACCTGCTGGTTGTTGATATTTATGGCAAACTCGTTCTTTGTTTTGAGAGTCACATAATTCCTATAAAGGCACTCTGTGACAAAATAAAAAAGTTTCCGTTCTGTTAAATCGGGTGGTAGTATAGTTTTCACTGTGCTTTAAAGGGTAAATATTATATATAGTGTTAATAATTATTCAACGCAAATAATTACTGAAATTCCCGCTGAAAATTGAATAGGAAATGCAGATTAAACACAGTTTAATCGTATCGTTAAGTTTTAAATGGCAACACAAAAGTGAAATGGTAATATCCGTAATCCATACTTACGTACGGTAACGTTAAACTTTCAGCGTTTGTGCAGAGGAGCCTTCAACGTTATCATAACATTTACATGTACTGGTTTTTATGAATATGACATTATTCAGTGCGTTGTATTTAAGCTACAAAGTAACATATATCGTAAGGGGTACAGGTGCTCCAGTGGAGTATTGTTTTTTAATTGCAAGTAGGGTGGGACAAAGTCCCTTGTACTGCGGCCACTTCTGGACTATTGTACCAGCCCCAGACGATAGGTGAGGGTGATTGTGGAGCAATTGGTGGAATGAAGATTGGCAGGGTAGATCGAAGTACTCGGAGAAACCCTGCCCCAGCTCCACTTTGTCCACCACAAATCCCACTTGACCAGACCCGGGATCGAACCTGTGCCGCCGCGATGGGAAGCCAGCGACTAACCACTTGAGCTATGGCGCGGCCCTCTCCAGTGGAGTAAGTTCTCATCCATAGATCCCTGATGATAATAATAAAATTAAAATGTAACTCTCGTAAAACTGGAAGACTATGATTAAAATATATGAAAATAGAGCGAAACGAACGTATTTTATTTGTATTATAATTATCAATAATCATTAGTAGGTTTGCTATAGTTTGTGTGAAGTGATATTCAGATATTCAAAATTTATTAAGAATGCTGATGCTGGTAAAATCAAAGTTCAGTTTCTATGTCCTTAATTTATATACTTTACCCTTTGTAACATTAAATTTATAAAGAACAAAAATAAGATTTTAATTAAGTGTTCTTCAGATTGGCAATTTTCTTTCCTAACAACTTCCCTCTCTCTATCGCACTTTCTAGGGCATGTCGTATACCCTCTGTAATGTCAGAAGTACTTAGGAAACCGCACACTAGGATGGGACGCAAGTAGACGAGGACTATTGTGGTAATGGTCCAGGTTATTTGAATGTAAAGTGATTATTATTTATGACCCAATGTAAATGCATGGAGCAGCTTCGTGTGAAGCTGGACTCTCTTCAGAAGACCGAAGTACAAAATATGGAGATGCGGAAGCTAGAAAAATAATTTCTATATACTGATGTTTTAAAATTAAAATTAAAAATTAAGGAGAGCTTATTTGTTACGTATAAGAATGCTGTATAATAAATAAATACATTTTTATATATATAAATATAAGTATATAAATTATATTCATTTATATTAAAAGAACTATTCTCATTAACTCATAGACCATTCTCAAATAATTGATTTATAAAAAAATATCCATCGAGACGTTAATATTCCTCTTTGTTGAGAAATGTAATGAATTACGTTAAGTAACGTAAGAGAATACAGAACCGCAATTTGACTAATATTTATAGTATTTCAGTAACATTTAAAAGAAATCATTCATCTTTATCCAAAGCGTGTCTATGTCACGTTGCTAGTGAAATACAAATTTTCTCGATCCAGTCAAGTGACAAAACTCGCAGTAAATGCGAATACAATTCGAATTTAGAGTTGACATTGGTGCGTTTGATTGATGCTAGCATCCCTTTTTATAGCCCCACAATTTCTAGAAATACTGCAGGTTATTTACATCTGTTAACCTTAATTTAATTTCTTCAAATCACAACCTGCACTAGATACACTGATAGTTCTGTAGCTTAGTATTAATAACTAGAGGGGTTTCCTCAGTCCCGTGTTCGATCCCGGTTTAGGTTACTTTTCATGCATTGTAGTTCTAAGTATGAAAACTGGTGTGAAATGAACGCGGAAAGGTAAAGCACCAATCAGACGCTCCTAGTAAAATTAATGTTATTATGTATATGGGTTAACATATTTAAAATTAAATGAATTGTTCTGGTTAATTGCAATTTTCAGTACATGACATGCGACGTGTCTTGACAGTGATACTCTACTTTTATGCAATCATAAGGTCCATAAAATAACATCATTGGGCATCGTTCTGAAATTTTAATCCAAATTAGGGCCTTCTAAAGTGTGACGTTGTGCAGTGTAACAGAAAGAACGAAAGCCGCACATTTGGAGGAACGTGTGGTCTCGATAGTCAGGATCGACTGCGAACATGGACATGGCATTTTCTTCCGAAATGTTGGCACCTGTTTCTCATACCACGCGGTGCCAATTTCCAGAAGACCGTAAAATTAATTCTCACCGCCTTTAGAACTTCAAATATCATACAATTAATTTCAGTCCAATGCTCCGAAAATATTCTGCGAGAGAGTTACAATTACATATGATATTATTTTCTCCGTTTCTGATTTAACAGAAAAAATGTGTTGACTAATTCTTGTTCTCACTTGTTTTCACCGCATTTAATGTTAACTGAGTTTCAATTTATCGTATTCCAATTTGTCGTCATATTTTCAATGTTGTGATGATATCTGAAGAAAAGTAGGCAAGGGATTGCAATCAGAAGGGAATCTACAACATTTCCTTGTAATTTTAATGCAAATAAAGA